GGGGGGAGAGAGAGCCAGAGGCTAAGGTCTAGAGGTCCCAGTCCCCAGTGGGGAACAGAAAATTTGGGGTGAGCTGGGGGCCAGACCTCTGGATCTTGGCTGGAAGCAGGGCATGAAGATTGGGGGCTAGGAGAAGGTGAAAAGAGAGAACATTCCAGGGGTCAGGGTCTTGGCCTGCTGTGTGGAGCATCCATCAGAGACAGAGAGGCCAGGGGGGACAGGGCCTCTATGCCAGCAGCCTCCCTGCCGACTGTGCCCTGGGCTGGTCCCGTGAGAACCAGAGTAGATTCCTCTACAGCCTGACTCATCCTTCTCACCCAGCAGCCCCCCACAGGTGATTTGTAGCTGATGCCCCCACGATGGTAGGGGCCAGGATAGTCATTCCATGACATGAAGAACTGAGAGCTTCCAGGAGAGAAGAGAACAGAGGCCAAGGGAAGGGAAGCCAAGCACCACCCCCACTTCCCCCCACGAATCCCCATCTCGCTCCCCTGGGGACCCTGGCCCAGCCCCAGTCCCCTTGGGGTGGTGGGAATGCAAGGACATTTGGCTGGGGCTGATTGATGAGGGAGGAGGCAGCCACGGGCACTGAGGCTGCTGTTTGCTGAGCACACAGATTCCTCCCCACTCACCAGCTGCCGCCCCCTGAGGCTGCTCAGTCCACCCCCCCCCCACATCACCCCACCAGCCACTGGGGTTAGGGGGAGCTGATGCCTGAGTTTCTGATGGCAACTGGAGGAAGAGGGAGAACCAGGAAGCTGAATGCTTTGATTCCCTATGGGAATCGGGGGTCCCTGAGGTCTGGTCCCCTCAGAACTCCGCTTTCCCTGCTACTTTTCTTTCTTTTTTTGTTTTTTGAGAGTGAGTTTCACTCTTCTTGCCCAGACTGGAGTGCAGTGGCGTGATCTCAGCTCACCAGAACCTCCGCCTCCCAGGTTCAAGCAATTCTTCTGCCTCAGCTTCCCAAGTAGCTGGGATTATAGGCACGTGCACCACCATGCCCGGCTAATTTTGTATTTTTAGTAGAGACAGGGTTTCTTCATGTTAGTCAGGCTGGTCTTGAACCCACTACCTCAGGTGATCTGCCTGCCTCGGGCCTCCCAAAGTGCTGGGATTACAGGCATGAGCCACCGCACTCAGCCTCCCTGCTACCATTCAAGTAGCTCCCTGGCTGCCCAGTTGTCATTCCCATTTATTCTGTGTCCTTTTTTCTTCCCCCACCCAGCCCTCTGAGCCTATGCCAACCAGCCTCCTGCCTCCAAACCACCCTGCGACATTTCTTCCAGGTCTCAAAACTCTCCCAAGCCCCACATCCAAGGTTGCCCACATAGCCCCTTAGGAAGCACTGTTTTTCATTCTAACTAAAATTCCAGAAGTGCTATCAACTATTCCCCATTAGAAATTCCCACTGCAAGGCCAAGTGCAGTGGCTTACTCCGATAATCCCAGCACTTTGGGAGGCCGAGGCTGGTGGATCACCTGAGGTCAGGAGCTCAAGAGCAGCCTGGCCAGTGTGGTGAAACCCTCTCTACTAAAAATACAAAAAATTAGCTGGGCCTGGTGGCACATGCTTGTACTCCCAGCTACTCAGGAGGCTGAGGCATGAGAATTGCTAGATCCAGCCACTGTACTCCAGCCTGGGCCACAGAGCAAGACTCTGTCTCAAAAAAAAAAAAAAAAAAAAGCCCACTGCCACCCCTTGCCCCATTTCCCTTTCCTTAAAAACCCCCAACACAGACACATACATACATACATACATACACACACACACCCCTTGGGTGTGAGCTGTGAACTCTACAGCTCAGCCCCAGGATAGCCTCAATCCTATGCAGTTTGGGGTGGCGGGGGGACAGCTCTAGCTTCTGTGGTCCCAGCCCTCTCTGTTCCTTTACTTCCGCTCTGCCTGCCTTCTCTAGACTCTGCCAGCAGCTGTGCCACAGCCCCCAAAAAAGCTCAGAGCATCATCCTTGCCCTCCCAGAGCTTAAAATTTAGTCAAGGAAAACGCAAGTCACAGACACACAAGCAACAAAAGGCAGGGAGATGGAAGACTGAGTGAGATCAACTTCCTAAATGTGAATTTCAGACTAAGTGACTACTTCTCTCCAGGCTGGGGCTAGGAAAGAACAGGACACATCTGAAACATGCATGTGGTGGTGTCATCCTTGTTTTTATTTGTTTGGGGCGGAGTCTTGCTCTGTCACCAGGCTGGAGTGCAGTGGCACAATCTCTGCTCACTGCAACCTCCGCCTCCCAGATTCAAGGAATTCTCCTGCCTCAGCCTCCCGAGTAACTGGGACTACAGGCACATGCCACCATGCTCAGCTAATTTTTGTATTTTTAATAGAGATTGGGTTTCACCATGTTAGCCAGGATGGTCTTGATCTCTTGACCTTGTGATCCACTGCCTTGGCCTCCCAAAGTGCTGGGACTACAGGCATGAGCCACCACCTGACTGTTCCCAAACACACCATGATCTCACATCTGTGCCTGTGCATGCGCTGTCCCTCTATCTGGTGTGCCCTTCCCCCCTCCCCCTGTTCCCCAGTGTGCATGGCTTACTCTTGTCTCATTACTCAAGGTCCTGATCAACGGCACCTCTTTCAGAGGGACCTTCCTGACCTCCTTATCTTAAGCAGCTCCTGGCAGGGCACAGTGGCTCATGCCTGTCATCTCAGCACTTTGGGAGGCCGAGGTGGGTGGATCACCTGAGATCAAGAGTTTGAGACCAGCCTGGGCAACATGGTGAGACCCTGATTCTACTAAGAATACAAAAATTAGCCGGGATGGTAGCAGGTGCCTGTAATCCCAGCTACAGGAGGCAGGAGAATTGCTTGAACCCGGGAGGTTGAGGTTGCAGTGAGCTAAGATCACACCACTGCACTCCAGCCTTGGCAACAGAGTGAGATTCCATCTCAAAAATAATAATAATAATAATAAGTAAATAAATAAATAAAATAGGCCAGGCACGGTGGATCATGCCTGTAATCCCAGAACTTTGGAGGGTCGAGGCGGGTGGATCACAAGGTCAAGAGATCAAGACCATCTTGACCAACATGGTGAAATCCTGTCTCTACTAAAACTACAAAAATTAGCTGGGGGTGGCGTGCACCTGTAGTCCCAGCTACTCAGGAGGCTGAGACAGGAGAATCACTTGAACCCGGGAGGTAAAGGTTGCAGTGAGCCGAGATCATGCCACTGCACTCCAGCCTGGGCGACAAAAATAATAAATAAATAAAGCAGCTCCTTGTTACTCTCCGTCCTCCTCATCCTGTCACTCTGTTTGGTTTATATCCCTTTCACACCTGAAATTGTATTTCATTCCCCACCTAAATGTGGACTTCGTGAAAGCGGGGACTTGGCCTTACTCACCCTGTCCTCCTGGCGCCTGAACTGGTGCCTGGAACAAAGTCGCATTTACCATGCTGCTGAGCGAGTGAACGAACAAACAAATGTCTTCCTGAGCCTGTAGTGGTTTTGTTGTGGTTGTTATTCTAAGAGTATGTTTGTGTATTTGTCTGCACAAAGCAAATAGGATGGCATGTGTTATTCTGTCTGGAAGTCACCAGCATTTTCACATAACTCAAAAGACACCCAAGTCACTACACATGTGGAAGGCAGTGGATCTTGGGCTGTTTGAGTGGGGCTGCGGGGAGCCTCTGGATGCCAGCGCTCTGAGGGGGCGTGTCTCAGGCACTGTGCAGCCTGTGCCGTTCCTCTCCCGGGCTGTGCATCTGTCCCCAGGTGTCTTCCTGTCTCTCAGCATGTTATGATGTCTTGGCTGCTTTGTGAGGTGCTTGTCTGTCACGGAGACTGTTTATCCCCACCTCTCCTCCCTCTCATCTCTCCACCTGTGCCTCTAGATGTAGGTGGAGGGGGAGTCTCCCTGAGCTCCCTTGCCCCTCACGCACCACCCTGCCCCAGTCTTGGACCCCTCCCTTTCTCAGTGGGCCCTGTTGCTGGGCTCTGGGTTGCCATAGTGACGGTTGCCAAGTCCCTGAGGCTGATAGCCAGCGATGGGGCTGTCGGCTCCATCCACGCGGGAGGCTGAGGGGGGCTTCCCATTGTGTAGAGAAGGGGATGTTGCCATGACAACCAACCCCCACTAAGGGGCAAGGACCAGCCTTTCCACCCCCCACAAGCCTCCCCACCTCGGGCAGCTCCAGTGTGGGCTCAGAAGGCAGGAGTAAATTCCAGACAGCCCAGCACCTGGCCTCCCAGCTTTCAATTCCCCTCCTGTGGTGCCCGCACCTTTCAGGACACAGGCATCTTACTCAGACAGGCAGGGGGAGGAGTGGGGGTCCCATTGGACGGAAGAGAGGAAGAGGGACCCCTTGACCTCCAGGCAGATGGGAGACAGCAGGAGGGAACCTAAAGTCAGGGGAGGGGCAGGGAGGGCAGAGGTTGTGACCCCTGCTGACTCGCTCCAGTGATGCTCCTGACGGCTGCTTTTGTGGTTGGAGAATGGGGCTAAGTCTAGGGGGCTGGGCACCTGGGCTTTTTAGGGGAGAAGAACCTTGGTTATGGGTATACAGGGAGCCAGGGGACAGGCAGCTTGAAGCCTAGGTCCCTCACTCCTTCCTACTTCCTTCTGATCAGCCTCATCCCTTCTCCCCCCGAGTCCCCTACAGCAAAACTTCCCAAGGGGTGGTAGGGAATAGACTTTAACACGTGAAGATGTTTTTACCACTTGATCCTAATTGTGACTGGCCCTGTCTCCGGTGCTTTGGCTTAGCAAGGCACTTAGACTGTCCCCATGGACAAACTGGCAACCCCATTCCTGCTTAGGTACCTCTCTCCCTCCCCTGGAGGTGACGCCTTCCTCCGCCTTCTCTCCCAGACCATTTTTACCTCCTCAAGCACTGCCGACCTCACCAATCCAAACTAGCCCTATCCCGACCCACTCCCTTTGGTTGGTTTCATGCAATCCAACCCCCAGCTAGAAAGCCATCCTAACCACATCTTGGCTCCAATTCAAGTCCAGTCATTCTCCAGCCTTCTTGTCAACTTTTGAAGTTTTTTATTTTTATTATTTTTTTTGGTTTTTGTTGTTCAAATTTCCCTTTTACAGTAAAACTAGTGAGGTGACGGCAGACCCCGCCACCATGGCAATATCAACTTCCTGTTCCCCAGAAGGAGCGATTACAAAAACCAGGAAGGAGCTGGGAACTACAGCACCAGAGCGGTGACTTGACCTCTGGTGGACAAAGCAACCATCTTGGCTGGTGATTGAGGTGGCCAACTTGGTGCCCAAAAGCAGCTTTGATCTAATAAAGCTGAGCTGGGAGGAAACTGAGGCAACACCCAATTGCACACTAGAGGGCAGGAAGAGGTATCAGCTGGTCGCCATGGAAACAGCGGCCTTCGCTAAGTACCACTGTCAGCTAGACCAGCCAGTAGGCCACCATTTTGGTTACTAAGAAGGGAACTGTGTTGAGTCTGAAAGGAGTCAGAAATGGAGGATGAAATGAGCAAGACACCCATCTGGGTTACTCGGGGAGAACACATGGGTTCTTGGGGTAGTCCTGTTGATTAACAGAGATTATACTGGGATAATGGAAAGGAAAGAACAAGACAAACTGGGCCTGCCATGGCACATGGCAGTCATCTTAGCTGTCCTAAAATCAGCACAGAGCACAAGGAAAGGGAGATCTTGGGAAGTGCCACTGAATACTGGGAAAGTCCTTCTCGGTCCACCTCTGTCCTCTTACAGTCAGTAAGTTCCAGCTTCCTCCTCAAACAGGAAGTTCTTCCCGCCCTTCTTCTCCACAGAGCAAGAACCATCCACCTCCCACCCCCCGCATCCCCCAGACTAAGCCACTTGGTGTTCCAGCCAGACCACTTCCTATTTCAGAAGTGCTACTTCCTGTCCTGGATGAAGGCACTTCCAGTTCCTGCTGCACTGCTTCTGCTACTTCCCAGGCCATTTCTGTCCAGGCCTGGACACCTCTTGTCTGGAGCAAGTCATTTCCTGTCCCAAGTGGCCCATTCAGCATCAGACCAAGTTCGTACATGTCCCGACCGGTTCATATCTTGCTATTGGCCACTGGACAAAACAGGACACTTCTTCTCATGGTAGCTGTCATGACCCAACCACCCCAAATGGCTGGAGTAAGTATGTAAAGGCCTGGGCCAAGGCAGAGAAGGGAGCCCTGCTGCCATGCCCTGAGCTGGGGTGGAGTGCCAGAGCCTTCCCCATAAGGCCCCCATTTTTGACAGACTGAGGGGAGTGGTTGGTATGAGAGGTCGGAAGGGGGCTGAAAGCTAAGGGGAGAAGTGCTTTGATGCCCCTGCCCGGGAGATGGGAGAGGCACAGGATAAGAAGCCAAGAGGGTGAAAGGAGATGTGGGGAGGAGGATGCTAGGGAAGAACAGACCTAGAGACAGAAGAGAGGGAAAGAATAAGAGATAGAGAAAGGAGAAAACCAGTGAGAAGCAGGAAGAAGCGGTGCCAACCACATGGTGGACTGTTCCCGCCCCTAGCTCTGGGTGGGTTGGGGGACAAGGATGCCTGGGTCACAGTCAGAGAGGAGGCTGAGCCTGGGCCCCTCCCCAAGGGAATAGGACCGAGGGACACTGAGACAGAGGGGAGCACCCATGGCCAAACGGGAGGGCAGGAGGTGGTACAGTGAGAATCCTAAGGAATCCTGAAAGTGGACACGAGGACAGCAGTGGGGAGGAGCGAAGGGGCTGGTAGGGCACAGGGGGCCGAGGAGATGTTAGGGGTGTCCCTCAAACCAGGAATTAAACTGGAGGAGCACCCTAAGAAGGGCTGGATCCAGGAGAGCCACATGGGGGGAGCCCTCATACCTTGTAGTAGATATTTGGAGGGCTCTGGGGGGGCCCATCCTGCACTATATACACAGGATGCCCATAATCACCGCTCACCTTCTCATAGTGGGGACAGAACGGGGGATCGGCAGCCCCGCCACCCCGCAGAGCTATCCCTAGCTCCCCAGGCTCAGCCTCCCGAGGTCCCAGCCCACCTCCACCTCCCAGGCCCAGAGACCCTCCCCTCCCGAAGGAGCCAGGACCAGGGTGGCGACTCTCCGAAGGCTTGGCCCGCCGTCTCCGCCAACACATGGCACCCCCAGCCCCTGCCACGCCCAGCAAGAGCAGCGCCAGCCCCCCTGCTGCCCCAGCCACTGCGGGCATGCTGGGAGGGGGCAGGGGGCCTTCAGCACCCCGAGAGGTTGCATTGCTGGTGGGGTCACCTGGCAGGGAAGGGGTGAAGGAGGAAAGAGGGGGAGGGACTGAAGGAGCCACCTGGGCATCTGGACACCCTACCCTGGGGGCCCCCATGGGCTTCCCTTGTAGGGCCCAGGCCCCTTGGGGACCCCACCTCCTCTCCCCCGCCAAACCCCACTCAGAATCCAGGTGTCCAGCCCTTCAGCTTCCTGCCACGGAGTCCTCCCCACTTCTCTGACAGCACTGATTGAAGCACTGACTTGGCTAATTAGTTCTAATTGAGTCTTTTCCTCATTTGGCTTCCATTCCCCTCCCACCCTCCTGTCCTCTCTTCTCCTCTTTCCTGTATCACCGCCCCCAAAACTGAAGAGGGAGGGTGATGGCAGGGCAGCTGGGGTCTGAGAGCAGAGGAAGCTGGGGAAGGCGGGGGGGCTGGACCCTGGTTCCTACCTGGCACATTCTCCTTCCCAGGCTCCAGGCTGTGGGCTGCCCCTCGGTCTCTTTCCATGGGTATTTCAGACACAGGTTTTCGGGGAGCAGCCCCTCCTTGGGGACCTGAGATGAGGAAGAGCAGAGAGAGGCACTGAAACAACCGCCCTTGACCATGATCGTCCTGCCCCAATGTCCCTCCCATCCCGGGAGGTGTCCTCCAGCCCTACTCACTTTGTCCCACTCGGAGAAGCACCTTCATGCCTCTGGTTAGGCATACGCCTCCCTGCAGGCTCTCCAGGCCCTCCCGGGTCCCATCGGATGTGGCTGGGAGGGAAAAGCCAGAGGGAGAGGTTGGCACTCCAGAGTCTAGCCGGGTTCTGGCCCCACACCCTGGTGTGAACACTGCCTGAGGGCACTGGGGTCTTCCTCTTGGCTCCAGTGGTCCCCCTCCCTCTCTGCTCAGTGTCAGGAGCAGCCCCCAACTCAGTTGTGCTCTCTGCCCAGCAGTACCAATGATGTAGTAATCGTGGTGTGAGCGGAACTCGTGGCCCCAAAGGTTAGGGCTGTACTCCTGGAACTTGATGGTGAAGCGGAGATCCAGGTCTGGCCGATCACAAGTGAGAAGGAGGTTTGGAGCAGGGGGTGCCTCACAGCGCCGGCCCTGGGCACCCCCTACCAGGTACAGCTTGTAGAACTCATAATTAGGAGAGGAGTGGGGGCCAGGAGGCCGGGCCCGGGGGCAGAGCAGGTCTAGCCGGTCCCCGATCTGAGGGTAGAGTACATAACCACCCTCTGCCTGGAACCTATGGGGAGAAGGGTGAGGTGGACAAGGAAGAGATGTCAGAGGCCTGGCCCCCAGAGCTTTCCCTCCCTCACCCCGAAACCCTCCAGGACAACAATCCTCAGCTTACGCCTGCCCGCCTTTGTCTGAGTGGAAAGTCTGTTCTTACAAGCAGGCACCAAGGACTCTTCCAGTGCGTTCACACTGGAAGCAGCAGGAAGCCAGGCTCAGAGGTCTCCTGCCCCTTGGTGTGCCCAAATGCACTCTTCAGCCTGCCCTCACCACATGCACACTGCCATCTCCCGCTCCATCACCAGCCCTGTTGCCATGGCAACAGGATGCCAGTTACCAAGGAGCTGGCCTCTCTGGAACCACACAGCCCACCCCTCCCAGGTGATTTCACTATTCCATGGCAGCCAACCATGGGGGCAAAGCCTCCCCTCCTCCAGGCCACCACTGAATTTCAGGGATTTCAGGGCATAGGAAATGGGTCAGGGAGGGGCTGTGTGGAGGGTGATCCAGACCAGTGTCTTAAATTAGCCAGGTAATAGGACGGAGGGCAAATGCCCGGTTTGGCCATGACCATCAATGGGGCTGATGGGAACCAGGGTCTAGAGACCTGCTGCCTGAGTCATTCTCCTGCTCAGAATCCCACCCTGGGTCTTAGACTTCCTGGGGCAAATGCCCTATTGCTTTGGAAAGGAAAGGAATTGACTTTTCTAACCACGACCAACACAGTTCACCATCTCCTTGGCCAGAGCACCCAGGCATCCACTGTCCCAGCACAGCCGCAACTTGCCAACCCTGCAACCCCTTCCTGGGCATTAATAGCTGAGACAGGGTCTCAGGACTGGATCCCATGGGACTGCTACTTGACATCTTCTCAGACTCCCAAGTGTCCCACTCCCATCCCACATCCAAAAGAGCCCCCAGGACACCCCAACTCCCTTTTCTCTACCCTGTGAAAATAAGCTTATGTTCTCAAGCTACACACCTAATACTCAAACTGCAGCTGGGAGTTGGCAAGTGGGTGACTGAGTACAGAAAAGACATTGAGATTATACCCAAAGAGATCCGGGAGACAGAGAGGGAGGGATGGCAGGGCAGGGAAATGTGAGGGAGTCTGGGAACTAAAGAGTGGAACAATAATCCAAACTCTCCATTAATGAGCACATAATAAATTTCAACATCTTACCGCTAATCCCGGTAATAGCTGTAAGGATTAAGGATACAAACTCAGAAAGGTTAAGTGACATGCCCAAGGCCACACAGCTTAAAGCAGCAGAGCTATGATTAAGACCAAGGATTTGATGAGCTCCAAAGCCCACCCGCTTCCCATGGCCTCACACAGTCTCCCCAGGGAAGTAGGAATTCTTCAAAACACAGAACTCTTTTCTGAGTGGCAAGTGGGATCTGCATGTAGGCAAGGGACCCAGATGACCTCCCAAAGGTTCTGTCCTACCCAGTGTGACTTGAAGTTTCATCTGACCCCTGGCCTCTTTTCAGAGCAAAGCAGGCATGCCACGGAACAGAGGGTCTGATGGAAGAGTTTGGATCAAAGATTGGGGGAGGGGGCAATGGAGTCCTCAGGACTCCAGATGCAAAAGGGAAGGAAGGAGGGTTCAGTGGGCTGGAGGCTTCTTCCAGAAAGATGCCTGCAAGCCAGGAAGGCAGGAATATGTTCTGGCTGGGAAATCGTTCAGCCAACAGTTCACCAACCCTCTGGCTGTGCAGAAGAGTTGGGAGACAGACTGTCAAAGATTGTCAAAGAGCCTTGGGGAAGTTGTCCCCAGAGTCCCCAAACGAAACCCCCTTGCCTCCCATCTTAGACGCTGAGTTCCTCCAGCGGGGAGGGAGGCACCCTGCCCTGCCTTCCCCTCAGCGACTCGCAGCACCTTATCTGCAGCTCTCTCCTGAGAGCTGACAGTAACCAGGCTCCCTCCAAGCCCAGCCCCCCAACGCAGGCCTCCCATAGATCCAAATACCCACCTCACTGCCCTCCTGGCTACCCATGAACTTTCTTCTCCTTGCCCCTTCGGGGTCTCCAAACTCCTGACACATCCATAGCACCACCTGCATCCAGCTCTGCATGGGACCCGGAGTCTGGCTCCCAAGATCACCTGTCTAGTAACCCATCACACATCACAGCACCAGCGCCTTCCCTCCCGCCTCCTCCCTGCCCACAGAAGCCAGCCCCCAAAGTCCCCAAAGCTTCCCTACCCACTGCCCTAGGGTCTGGGGTCTCCCCGGCCCCAGGCCGCTCACCTCTTATTCGCCGAGTTCCAGTAGACAGGTTCCAGACTGAGCCCAGACACCAGCCCCAAAACGCCCAGCAGCAGCAGGGCCCCGATTCGCACGCCCCCCGGCCCAGAATGGGGGGGCCCCATGACCCCGCCAAGGCCTGGGGGGCGGGGCACCAACTCCCCCAAAGTCGCTCACCCCTTGGGGTGGCTGCCTTGGCTGCCTGACTCTTCAGCCCGGACCACCCCGGTGGCTGATGCCCCCAGCGCCCACGCGGACCTGCCTCTTGCTGTGCCCGCGCCCCCGCAGCAGAGCGCTCAGTCCCACCAGAGCCCTTCCAGGGGCCGTCTGCAGGCGCCCTACGCGCCCCCGGCCCACGCGCCAGCACCCCGGGATCTGTGAGCCCGCCTAAGTGGGGGACTGGGGGAGCCGGGGTCTGGGCGGGGGCGGCATGGGGCGTCGGACCACGGAGCGAGGAAGGGGGCGCTGAGCCGGAGCCCCAGCCTCGCCGGGATTGAGGGCAGCGGGCTAAGGGAGGAAACCAGTCCCGAGCCCAGGAGGGGGGAGTTAAAGGAGAGGCGGGGAGGGGGAGAGGATGGTGGAGGGAAAAACCGGAGCTGGAGCTCGAGGCGGAGCGGGCGGCAGCATCCCGCGGCCCACGCCCCCCACACCTCCCTCACCTCGCGCACCTCCCGCCCGCCGCCCCGCCTCAGCCCCCGGCGCGGGCTCTCACGCCCCCTTTGTCTCTCCGAGCCTCTGGCTCCGGCTGAGTTCTGCCCGTCTCCCCTCCTGCCCTCCAATTGCCCAAGCTGCTGGAATCTTCCTCTCTCGAATCCAGAAAGGCTCTCGCCCTCTCCACCCAGAGGAACCCACCCCTTGTGCTCCTGCATCCTCCTCCGTCCCAAAACAACACCGCTGCTCCCGGCAGGTCTGGAGAGAATAATAATAACCTTGACGGCTTGGCAATTTACAAAGTGCGGCGGAGCTGATCGTCACGACTACCTGTGTGAAGTGGCAGGGGCAGAGCTAACGATCCCATTGCAGTGATGAGGAAACTGAGGCTCAGGGAGACCCCCATGACTTGCCCAAGGTCACACAGGAAGTCTAGGATAAAGCTAGAGACCAAACCCAGGCTGTTCAACTCCCACTACTGGGGTCTCTTTTGTCACCACTCCATGGACCTACCGTGTGCTGTTAACCTGGGGGTTAGTGGGACAGGAGTTTAGGGGATACACTTGGGCCTTTCCTAGATGGCTGGGGGGAGAAGCCGGGCTTGGAGAGGCAGGGGCATACCTACAACCCCAAATCGGCACTGCCGCAGGAAGGGCTGTTTCCAATTATCCTGGGGGAAGGGAGGAGTTGCCTTTTCGGGGGTAAGAGCCCTGGCTTTCAGCACCTCTGGGCAGGGGTGACATTCCTCTCCTCTCTCAAGCCTCCACAGGCCTTTCCTCCCTTCCCTTTGTGAGGTCCAAAATCACATCCCCTGCTGGCGGTATCTCTTCAAAGGCCCCCCATTCTCAGTGTTTGGGAAGGTGTTGGGGGGAGGAGGGAGGAGTCACTGCTTCAAATGACACACTCGTCCCCCACCCCCAAAGACAGAACAGACAAATGGGGAAACAAGCCCAGCGACAGCTGCTGAATAAGACCCTTGCCATGCCCTGCATCTAACGGCAATACCAAAGGTGACGACTGTATATTTTTTGACACGTTTACTCTTTCGTGTGTCCTTGACTCTGGCAACTGGGTTGTCTGCCTCCTGGAGAGCCCTGGGGAGGGGAGGGACAGGTTCCTGCTCCCCTCAGAGCTGAGTAATGGTCCCTGTGCTGCTGGAACATGGCAAACAGTGTGGAATTTAGGTGACGGTCACCCTGTCACTGTCTGCACAGTCTCACACGGTCACACCCAACAGTCTGACCCAGCTTCTGCTCAGCCTGGCTCACCCTGACCCCTGCTGCCCCCACCTTGGGAGTGAGATTTCAAACAGGTTTCCCCCTTCAGTTTACCAAGTTGCCTAGCAACCAACCAGTCAATGGCATGAAGCCCCACCCCCACCCACTTGACTTCACACCAAGCTCAGCCACCCCATTGGCTCCTGCCTAGTCCCACCTCTCGATCCCTGGTTTCAGGAACAATATGCCATACCCACTGCTGCTGGACAAGGGAGCCCGCCAGTTCCCCTGCCCGCTCCCACCTCACTCATGTGCCTCCCCAAACAGACACAAAGACTCTAGTATCATAAAAACCTTTTTACATAAGCTCACTGTCACCTCCCTCCATCCCTCCCTGCCCTTTCTCGCCATGGTGGTCATCAGGGATGCTGGGGTCTGGGCCCCCCCCACACCACCAGAGCTGAAGCCGACATTCAAGGTGGACATGGCGCGTAGAGAGCAGGGGAAGGCCCAGCTCTGGCTCCCCTTCGTCCCCACTCTCTGTGGGCTCTGGAAACACACGCTGACCGGAGGCGGTAGCCAGGAGAGGCAGGCTAGGGTGCAGGCTGAGGGAGAGATGAGAGGGTCTGTCAGCACCTTCAGTAAGAACACTTGCTCCCTCTGGGATTCACCTCCTTCCCCAACCCAATCCCCAACATCTCTGGAATTGAAGTGAGGACCTCACGCCATTGGTGCAGTCCTTTTGGGGCAGAAAACTCAATACAGGCTCCGGCTTCCCATCATTGCCAGGCCCGCCCGTGTCCCACACTTGGACGGCCCCGCTCGTGCTGCCACTCACTAGGAACTGCCCAGTCCTGGAAGAGAGAGGAGAGATTTGCTGGCAGAGGCATCATCCCCGGGGCAGGAACTCCCCACACCCAGGGGCTGGGACCCCACAGCTGAGCCCTGACATTCCTAGGCTTATCAGGGCCCTGTGTGGGAAGGAGCCACGGCCACTCACGGATCCACATGGAAATAGATGCGCTGATTGGTGGTCACCTCTCGACTCAGGGACCACAGTGGGTAACCAGGCTGCCGGAGATCCCAGCACAGGAGCTCAGCATCCTAGAGACACAGAACAGGACCTGGAGTGGCCCCCCAAGCCCTAGATGTCCCTGCCTCCCTCAGGGTCTCCAGGCACTCCGTCAGCTTGGGATTTCTCCCCATCCCCATCACCATCCCCCTGCACTGCAGACTACATCCCCACTCCTGCCCAGCTGCTTTGAGCTCTCAGAGTATGACCCCTACCTTGCGGGCTCCTGAGAAGAAGCGGTTGCCATCGGGGTGAAAGCAGAGGTGAGTGATGCCCCCTTGGTGCCCTCCCAGCAAGGCAAGAGGGGAGCCATCATCCCAGGCATACAGACCCAGGGAGCGGCCGTAGGAGCCACAGGCATAGAGGGGCTGAGCTGGGCTGAAGGCTATGCAGGAGATGATGCCACTCTGGCCCTGCCTTTTTGCTAGAGAGGGAAGGAACAAAGTGGGGAAGGGGCTGTAGCTCCTGGCCCCACCAAGCAGAGCTCTGTCTCCCATCCCAGCACCAGCATGCTTGCACTCAACACATCTCCCCCACGCTGTTTGTCAGGAGCAGGATAAAGACCTCTGATGCTTCCCACATCTATCCTCCCAAATGACCTAAACACCAAGCCCCACGCCCACTTCATCCCTCTCAAATTCCAGTTTTTCCTTGGAGAGATGCAAGTTGAAGGCCTACAGGAAAACAGAATCAGCTTCATGAAAAATTTTCTAGAAAGATTTCAGAGACCAAAAGCTCCACAGCTGACAGGGCATGGGTTCAGGAATTAAGCCGTCCTCTGACCGGCTGGTTGACCTTGGGGAGGTTTCCTACATGCTCTGAGTCTGCTTTCTCCTCTGTCAACTGGGCTGCAGCTGCCTCCCAGGGTTGTACACATGACGGCATGAAACTCCACAGGTGGCCCCTGGCTCACACAAGGACCTATGCAGGAGGCAGCACGCTTCTCTCTCCACCCCCCATGGAGGCACAGATGCTTACCAAATGTGGCTCGGACCTCGCAGTCTCGGCCGGGTCGGGCCGTGGAAAAAACACGCACAGTCCGGTTGAACCCACAGAAGAGTTGGGAGCCATCCGGGGAGAAGCAGAGTGAATGGGCTGCTGTCAGCTCATCCTGGGAAAAGAAAAGGGCTGAAAACATGTCTTGCAAAGCCTCAGCTTCCCTAAAGGAAGGAGAGCCAGGCCAGCAGAAATACTAGGGCTGAGTGTGAAGGTCCCTACCAGGTGGTTGTAGGCACGAAAGGAAGCCCGGAGCTCTCCAGTGAATGCGTCCCAGATATGAATAGGGTTCTCCCGGCTGCTGCTGGCTACACTGAGAGAGACATGGACACTGAAACCCTTGTGCTGTCAAAGGAAGGGGAGGAATGGCCGGGCGCGGTGGCTGACGCCTGTAATCCTAGCACTTTGGGAGGCCGAGGCAGGTGGATCACCTGAGGTCAGTTCGAGACCAGCCTGGCCAACATGGTGAAACCCTGTCTCTACTAAAAACACAAAATTAGCTGGGTATGGTAGTGCATACCTGTAATCCCAGCTACTTGGGAGGCTGAGGCAGGAGAATTGCTTGAACCTGGGAGGTTGAGGTTGCAGTGAGCCGAGGTTGCACCAGTGCACTCCAGCCTGGATGACAGAGCAAGACTCTGTCTCAAAAAAACAAAAATACAGGGCAGGTGCGGTAGCTCATGCCTGTAATCCCAGCACGTTTGGAGGCTGAGGAGGGTGGATCACGAGGTCACGAGTTCGAGACCAGCCTGGCCAACATGGTGAAACCCTGTCTCTACTAAAAATACAAAAATTAGCCAGGCAAAGTGGGTACTCAGGAGGCTGAGGCAGAAGAATTGCTTGAACTCAGGAGGTAGAAGTTGCAGTAAGTAGAGATCACACCACTGCACTCTAGCCTGGATGACAGAGCAAGACTCCATTTCAAAAAAAAAAAACAAACAAACTTAGCTGGGCATGGATTGTGCCACTGCACTCCAGCCTAGGTGACAGAGTGAGACTCAATCTCAAAAAAGAAAAAAGAAGGGGAGGAAGCCAACTGACCAGCCCCTCTGATGAGCATGACAAGCTTTCCTCTTCTGAAGGACCCTGGCAGCCCTTGACTCTCCCAAGAGGACCCGCTTGAAACTGGGAGGTGGGGTGGCGAACAGAGAGGCAAAGGACATTACTTACTAGGAGGTGTCTGGCTGGGCTGAGGACATCAGAGAATACCAGCAGTAATCATAGATGGTATCACCTTCCACCATTCGAAGGACAGGGACCTAGACAGAGATGTACAAATGCCTGAGTCACTCGGAGGGAAACGGTGTCTGAGGCATGTGCCTCTAGCAGTGTTGTGGCAGATGGGGTGTATATACGGAGCAGAGACTCTGTCTCAATGTTCAAGGGCGAGCTCAGACTTTAATGTCAGATTTAGCCACCAAAAGCCATATAGATTCATACTTTTTCTTTTCTTTTAAAAAGGTTTTGAGATGGAGTTTCATTCCTGTTGCCCAGGCTGGAGTGCAATGGTGTGATCTCGGCTCACAGCAACCTCTGCCTCCCGGTTCCAATAGATTCTCCTGCCTCAGCCTCCCAAGTAGCTGGGATTATAGGTATGCTCAACCACGCCAGGCTAATTTTGTATTTTTAGTAGAGACAGGGTTTCTCCATGTTGGTCAGACTGGTCTTGAACTTCTGACCTCAGGTGATCTACCCACCTCAGCCTCCAAAAGTGCTGGGATTACAGGTGTGAGCCACCATGCCCAGCCTCTTACTTTTTCTTTTTAAACACTTAGAGAGGAAGAAACAAATAATAATACCCCAACCCAGACACAAAGAACTAACCAGTAATTCAAATATTTACTGAGTACATGTTAGGTGCCATTTGACCCTTTAAAAAAATATTAGCACAAAAATTAGCCAGGCATGATGGCAGGCCCCTGTAATCCCAAATACTCGGGAGGCTGAGGCAGGAAAATCCCTTGAACCCAGGAGGTGGAGGTTGCAGTGAGCTGAGATTGCACCACTGCACTCCAGCCGGGGCAACAGAGAGAGACACTGTCTAAAAAAAAAAAAAATCCATCAGCAGGGCACAGTGGCTCACACCTGTAATACCAGTACTTTGGGAGGCTGAGGCAGGCAGATCACTGGAGCCCAGGAGTTCAAGACCAGCCTGGGTAATATAGTAAAACCCTGTCTCCTCGAGGAAAAAAAAATTATCTAGGCATGGTGGCACATGCCTGTAGTCCCAGCTGCTAGGGAGGTTGAGGCATGAGAATCACTTGAGCCCAGGAGGCAGAGACTGCAGTGAGCCCAGATGGTGCCACTGCACTCCAGCCTGGGAGACAGAGTGAAAAGCTGTCTCAAAAATACAAAAATGAAAACAAAAAAAGTAACTTCCCTATAAAAATGAAGGAAAAAAAGTAAGCAGTTCAAACATCCAGCTGAAGAAAAAACTATGTTTAAACCCCTTTCCTAACAGAAACTCTCCCTCAGAGGTAAACAATATACTGAATTTATCATTGTCATACATTTATTTAGGACTATATTATACTTTATTTATTTTTAAGGCAGAGTCTCACTGTGTCACCCAGGCTGGAGTGCAGTGGCACGACCTTTGCCTCCAGGGTTTAAGTGATTCTTGAGCGTCAGTAGCTGGAATTACCGGAGTTCACCACCACACCTGACTAATATTTTTTTTCTTTTTTTAATTTTACTTTAGGTTCTGGGGTACATGTGCAGATTATGCAGCATTGTTGCATAGGTACACACATGGCAAGGTGGTTTGCTACCTCCATCCCCCCATCACCGACTAGTTTTTGTATTTTTAGTAGAGACATGGTTTTGCCATCTTGGCCAGGCTGGTCTCAAACTCCTGGCCTCAAGTGATCCACCTGTCCCAGCCTCTCGAAGTGCTGGGATTACAGGTGTGAGCCACTGCGCCCGACCTAGGAATATATTCATATGGGAAATTTGTGAAAAAAAACAGTATCTAACGTTCTCTGGCAGGTCATTATACTTAGTTTTTTCTTTTGTTAGAGACAGGGTCTTGCTCTCTTGCCCAAGCTAGAGTGCAATGGTGCAATCATCTCACTGTGACCTCAAACTCCTGGGCTCTAGCAGTCCCCCAGCCTCAGCCTCCCTAGTAACTAGGAAGACAGACACATGCCACCATGTCTGGCTAATTTTTTAAATTATTTTTTTGTAGATCAGGGGTCTATGTTGCTCAGGCTGGTCTAAAACTCCTGGCCTCAGGCAATCCACCCACCTCAGCCTTTCAAAGCACTGGGATTACAAGCATGAGCTACCATGCCCAGCCTACACCTAACAGTAATGATATCATATCATATGTATCCTTCTGTGATAGTGAGCTTTAACCATGGTAACACATTTTGCTGTAATTCATACCTTTTCACTGCTGTACAGTACTCCACTCATGAATACATTCAAACTGATTTACCCTGCTTCTGTTGAGTCACTGACGTCGTTCTATTTTTTGGCTAGTGTGCTTTAACATTCTGTACATATGTAGAAGTGTTTCTCTACAGTTTCTGCTGATGAGTGAAATTACTGGTCTCTATGCTATGCACTTTGCCAACTTTGTAAGATACTATAATGTCCATTTCTTTCCCAAAGCACTCATCCCAATGTCCTCTCCCACCAGCAGCATGTAGGAATCTCTATTCTAGCCTGGGCAATATAACAAGACCTCAATTTTACAAAAAATTAAAAAATTAGGCATGGTGGCATGCTTGTAGTCCCAGCTGTTCGGGACGCTGAGGCAGCAGGATTGCTTGACCCCAGGAAGTTGAGGCTGCAGTGCACCATGTTTGCACCACTGCATCCCAGTCTGGGCAACAGAGCAAGATCCTGTCTCCAAAAAAAAAAAGGATCGTTCTTTATCCTCTTAGTATTGCCAGACTTTTACATATTTCTTAATATGAAGGCAGTGAAATGGGCTTTCATTACAGCATAAATTTCTATTTCCATCATTACTGTAAGAGAGTTTAGATATTTCCTCTATGCTTACTAGCCATTAGGTGTATCTTTTCATAAATTTTGCTCATTTTCTTTCTTTCTTCTTTTCCTTCCTTCCTTCCTTCCTTCCTTCCTTCCTTCTTTCCCTCCCTCCCTCCCTCTCTTCTTTCTCTTTCTTTATTTTCTTTAATCTTTATTCTCTCTCTCTCTCTCTCTCTCTCTCTCTCTCTCTCTCTCTCTCTCTCTCTTTCTTTCTTTCCCCCCAGGCTTTTGAGTCTTGCTCTATCCGCTGGAGTGTGCAATGGTGCAATTTCAGCACACACTGCAACCTCCGCCTCCAAGGCTCAAGCAATTCTTGTGCCTCAGCCTCCCAAGTAGCTGGGATTACAGGCACCCACCACCACGCCTGGCTAATTTTTGTATTTTTAGTAGAGATGGGGTTTCGCCATGTTGGCCAAGCTGGTCTCAAACTCCTGGCCTCAAGTGATCTGCCTGCCTCGGCTTCCCAAAGTGCTGAGATTACAGGAATGAACCACCGCACCAGGCCAAATTTTGCCCATTGTTCTACTAGGTTGTTTTGTTTTTTGTTTTGGGGGGGTTTTGTTGTTTGTTTGAGACAGTGTTTTTCTCTGTTCCCCAAGCTGTAATATAGTGGCACAATCTCTGCTCACTACAACCTCTGCCTCCTGGGTTCAAGCAATTCTCATGCCTCAGCCTCCCAAGTAGCTGGGACTACAGGCAGTTGTCACCAAACCCGACTAATTTTTATATTTTTTAGTAGAGACAGGGTTTTACCATGTTAGCCAGGCTGGTCTTGAACTCCCGGCCTCAAGTGATTGCCCACCTCCACCTCCCAAAGTGGGGATTACAGGCATAAGCCACTGCACCTGGCCAATTGTTGCCTTTTTCTTACTGATTTGTAAGAAATATTTAAATAGTCTGGACATCCGTCCTTCATCAGTTATCTGCTGGCCCTCAGGCTGATGTCAACCCACCATGACTTCAGTGTCCCCCCTCTACCCTGAACCCATATATCCAACTGCCTGGTGGACAGTGCCACTTGACCATCCCACAGGATCCTCAAACTCAATTTGTCCATAATGGGCCCAGCATCTGCTACCGTCAAACCTGCTGTTCCTCCTGGACTCCACAACCAGTGCTCAATCCTGAAATCTGAGTACCAGCCTTTACTGCTACCATCTTCACTTTCTTTCCACTCCTGGTCCAACCCAATACCAAATCTTGCCAGTTCCTCCTCCTAGCCTTCCATTACCATGCTGCTACCCCGACCCACCTCTCAAAGCTCATCTCTATCTGCTCATTCTCTTAAAATCTCTGAGTCCTGCCATTTTGACTCTCAGGTCCCATAAGGTGCCAACTCGCTACACTTTCAATCTACTAGCTTTCACATGTCCTAGGCTCCAAGTCTGGAATATTCTTCCTTCATCTCCCTTAACGACTCCTCCTGGGTGACTCCTAATCATCCTTCAGGTCTCTTTGATGCTTCTTCCTCTGGGAATGCTTCCCTAACCCCTCCAGCTGAACAAGGCACCCCTGCTCCACTTTCCTATAGTCTTCAGTGCTCCCCACCCTGCTTCCATCATACCTATGGGAAAAGGAAGGAATCTCATCTGCCTTGCTCTCACCACTGCTTCCCCAACACCTGGTGCAGAATCAGCAGTCAGTAAACATGGGTTTAATGAGCAAAAGGAGGCAGGGGACTGTTTCAGCAGCATAAGGCCCAAAATAATAGGACCTTGAATTAAAGTAGCAGTGGTGGAATAGACAGATGTGAATGGATTAGGAAGATAAGGTGGACCTGATGGGATTTGGTAAGTATTGGGAGGCAGAGGCAGGCGGATCACTTGAGGTCAGGAGTTGAGACCAGTCTGGCCAACATGGTGAAACCCCAGCCTCCAAAGTAGCTGGGCTTACAGGCACATGCCACCACACCCAGCTAATTTTTGTATTTTTAGTAGAGAAGGGGTTTCACCATGTTGGCCAGGCTGATCTCGAACTCCTAACCTCAGGTGATCCGCCCACCTCAGCCTCCCAAAGTCCTGAGATTACAGGCATGAGCCACCATGCCTAGCCTTTTTTTTTTTGAGATGAAGTTTTCTCTTGTTGCTCATTTCTACTAAAAAAACAAATATTAGCCAGGCATGGCGGCATATGCCTGTGATCTCAGCTGCTTGGGAGGCTAAGGCAGGAGAAACACTTGAACCAGGGAGGCAGAGGTTGCAGTGAACCCAGATCGCACCATTGCACTCCAGCCTAGGTGACGGAGCAAGACTGTCTCAAA